CACTGTTATTAATGTAACATCACAGTTACTTAATGTAGAAATAGAATGTTAAAGTTGCATATGCATATTTTTCTAAAATCGTATGTAATTCGAAAGATGTAATTCGTATATTACTGTGTATAATATTTGGAAAATTGATAATAAATGCCGTTGATCAGCCAGCCGCTACCTTGGCGGGTGGAGGCTGCTATTTGCAAATATTTCCGCTGAGCTGATATATTCTGTTTGGTATGTCACCTAAGGTAGGAAATTAGCTCAATGGTATAAAATAAAATAAAACAAACATACTACAATATATAGCTTTGGATATTGAAGACTGGTGCACTAACTGGAAGGTAGCTATTAATGGCACAAATTCGCAACTGCTTTTAATACGAAGAAAGAAACCAAAAGTCACAGCGCAGCCACTCTACCTATTTGGTCAAAGAGTTCCATTGGTTGATAAAGCCAAAACACTGAGTTTATATATCAAACAAAGACTCACGCGGAGTACTCACATAAAGTAAATTACGAACAAAACGAGAGGAATTGCGTAGCAACTCGTACGCAGCTCGCAATTGGACTTACGCAGGAAAAGAGAAATTTATATTTCAGTACTAAGGGCAATTATGCGCTACCTTCCCAGTTTGAGCGGCAACCACTAATTGATATTTAAATAAATTACAAATGACTCAAGATATTGCGTACTATCACCGGCGCGCACTACTATATAAGGAACAAATTATTCCATGGCGATTAACAAATAGAATATATTGACAAGTATCTGCACAGACTTAACTGCAAATTTTTTAATAAAGGATTAAGCTGCAGCATGAGAGATTTCAATGATGCCTTAAACTATATCTGTATTCCGAAAGATGTCAATATTAGACCATTTTACTGCCCATAGAATTAAAGACCACAACTGCGAGTACCACATTGAAACAGTTAGTTTACGAGTATGCTACAACCCTCCTGGCCGATGATAATCGGCCTTATGGTTAACGCATGTGGAAATTATTTTGATTAATTGATAGATGGCGCTAGCGTTGCGTGTTAACGCGACGCGACGTGCCTTCTGAATTTCCTTAGACTCTCCACTGGCAGTTCGATAGATGGATGTCTGGTGTTTCGCACGCTATTTGATTAGGAATACTTCGGTCCCTATTTGATTTCGATTTTCGATTATGAAAGCATATAGATTTATTTGTCAACTGAACCACCATGTTTTGATCTATGATCTGTAAATATTGTACATATTAAAAGTTACATTTTAAAAGTGATTGATGTCGATTTATAGATCTTAGATTATTTTGAAACAACGCAGCATACCCGACGCAGACAAACAAAAATACAGTTAAAAGATAAAATAAAATTAAAAAAGATAATCCATTACACATTTAGTTTTCAAACGTATTTAATCCCTACTAATTTAAATTAAAAATAATTGAAACCAGTATGGATCTAGTCGCCAGAATCGCCGTTGTTGCTGGCGATATTCGGCAAATGTCTGGTGTCTTCGCAAATGTGCGTCAAACCCTATCCGGCAGGTGTGAAGCTTGCATTACAGCTGGCGGAAGGTGTTTTGAGCAGTTTCTGTTAAGCACGTTCTGTTAATAAAATATTTTCAAAAGTATCCTCTCTCATTCTTGTGTTAATTCTTTAAATATGACAGTGGAAAACTATCTTGTAACTTCTCATCGCTTGCTTTTCGACCATATATTCTATGACGAATATTGCTGGTATACCTGCGTTCTATCACCCCCTAAAATTTTGCCCTCTTGTTCAAATTCACCCTGTATATTAGATTTATATATAGCATTGTTCTAACATAGGTATTCTGGCACAAAATCGGACTTAAAATATGTTAAAATGTAAAGATGTTACAATATTAAAATTCGAATACAGTCTTGTTATAAAACGCTGCAAATCATTAAAATTTTCGAATACAATCTTGTCATAAAACGCTGTGGGTACTATTCGGTTTCGAGGGCCGTAAAAAATCACTAATTTATTGTTGATGCCAACGCTGCCAAAAAGAATTGCGGCAACCATAATAATTGCGGCAAGAAAGGAAGTATAATAGTAAATAACTATTTAATATTGATGTTTTAACTTAGGTTAATTTCATATAATACTTTTTTATTATTATAATTTATATGAAAAAAGGCTAAACACGACTGAATGGAAGCATAAGAGTAAATAACTATTTCAGATCATTATTATAATTTATATAAAAATTGCTAAACATAACCGAATGGATGCCTGCATCGCTATTTCGCTACCGACTTATCGCTGAAGCATAATTTCATCTCGTTGGTTGTTCAAACGTAATTTTCTATAATGAATCCTGCCTTTTCTTTGAAAATATTCTCGGTAAAGTGCAGAATCGCTCACTTAAGGGTAAAAACAATTGGATTTTTGTCAATTTTCTTTTTACTTTTTAAGTGAAAATAGGTCGATGTGTACATAGATAAAGATGTGCGCAGTGCCATTTTTGTGCAATTCTAGGATTTTTTTTTAAGTGAAAATAGGTCGATGGGCACATAGATACCGAGTATGTGCAATTCTTAAAAGTGCGTCAAGCAGTGGGTGATTCTGCACTTTATTATATATTCTATTGCCGACTTTTCGTCATGGGAAATTCCCAAATTGTTAAATCCATAGGATATCAAAAAAGGATTTAAAAATTAAACTAGTATTTCAATGGCGTCTTAAGAAATATAAAACTATATAAACTTACGCAATCTGAAATCAACGCGTACGTTAGATTTGGCGCGCTGTTAAAAGGGCGCGTTTGCTAGATTTGGCGCTTTTGCGCATACATTTTCGCTGCAATTTTCTTACGGCCCTCAAAACAGAATAGTACCACAGTGAAATGTTGTTGTGTGAAATATTGTTGAAATATTCGAATACAGTCTTGCTATAAAATGCCGTAAAATAACCGCTGTAAAAATGTTGTTAAAATATTCAAATACAATCTTTGATACTTTTCCGTTTTGCCGGCGCAGGTGATAAAGTCGCCAGTAGTGGTACAACTGATGTTAAACGGAATATCCTCGCTGGTAACCTTTTACGCCTCATTTTCAAAACAAGTCGCAGCCATTTCTTATCAGATTGATTGTTTCTTTCAATACTGGCATTCAATTACATAAAATTTTTACCAGAGAGTATATTTTTATGCCCTAAGGCCATTCGCGGTAATTAAGTCGATTACGATGCAATCACACAGCTCACCCGAAGGCAAAAATATAGAAAAGGCAAAGTCAAGAGTTAAATTCATCAACTCTAATGAGAATGCACTAGCGAAGTAAAGCACTGAGGATTTACATACTTTGAATAAGCTATTCGTATGAATTGAAATAATTATTGCATTTAAACTTCTATTCCAAATTAAGATTTAACTTGAAATTAATGTAGATAATTACTGAGAGAATTAGATTTTTGTAGCGTAGTTTACATGAGATAGGATCACTTGGGGTGGCGTGAATCAGGATGTTGTATCATGAAAGCATAGTAAATTCTTAAATTAATGACTTTTACGAATTTATTGTCTTTATTTATATTTATTGGCTTTTTATAAAATTCAAACGATATTAAAATGTTTATGCCCTCAAAATAAAAAATTCTTAGAACCAACATTTTATAACATTTTATATGTGTATGCTATGTGTTGTCGCCAATAAAGTCTGCTTGGCGAGATTTGCGCCGGCGAAACGGAAAAGTACCTAATCTTTTTATAAAACGCTGTAAAATATTGTTAAAATTTTTTAATACAATCTTGTTTTAAAATGCTGTAAAATATTATTAAAGTATTCCAATATAATCTTGTTATAAAACGCGGTACTATTCGGTTTTGAGGGCAGTAAAAAAATTGCAGCGAAAATGTATGCGCAACAGCGCCAAATCTAGCAAACGCGCCCATTTAACACCGCGCCAAATCTAGTGTACGCGTTGATTTCAGATTGCGTAAGTTTATATAGTTCTATATTTCTTAAGACGCCATTGACATACTAGTTTAATTTTTAAATCCTTTTTTGATATCCTATGGATTTAGCAATTTGGGAATTGCCCATGACGAAAAGTCGGCAATAGAATTTTCGGTAAAGTCCAGAATCACCCACTACTTGACGCATTTTTAAGAGTTGCACATACTCGGTATCCATGTGCACATCGACCTATTTTCACTTTAAAAAAAAATCTTAGAATTGCACAAAAATGGCACTGCGCACACCTTTATCTTTATCTATGTACACATCGACCTATTTTCACTTAAAAAGTAAAAGAAAATTGACAAAAATTCAATTGTTTTTACCCTTGTAAAAAGCGGCAAACAAATACGTGAGCGATTCTGCACTTGACCGAGAATATTTTCAAAGAAAAGGCATCATTCATTATAGAAAATTAGTTTGAACAACCAACGAGATGAAATTATGCTTTAGCGATAAGTCGGTAGCGAAATAGCGATGAAGGGCATCCGTTCAGTTATGTTTAGCAATTTTGATATAAATTATAATAATGATCTGAAATAGTTATTTACTCTTATGCTTCCATTCAGTCATGTTTAGCCTTTTTCATATAAATTATAAAAATAAAAACGTATTATATGAAATTAACCTTTCATCTAAATTAAAACATCAATCTTACAATAGATATTTACTATTATACTTCCTTTCTTGCGGCAATTATTTTTGGCAGCATTGGCATCAACAATAGTTTGGCGATTTTTTACGGCCCTCGAAATTGAATAGTACCAAATTTTTTAATACAAGCTTGTTTTAAAATGCTGTAAAATATTATTAAAGTTTTCCAATATAATCTTGTTATAAAACGCTGTAAAATAACAACTGTAAAAATATTTTAAAAATATTTCAATGCAATCTTCTTATAAAAACGCAGAGAGGAAATGTAGCAGTATAATATTGGCTTTTGATGTCTTTAAGATATCAAAATGTTTCTTTTTTCTGGGTAATATGTGACATTTTAACTGATGAAAACTATAAACAAAAATAGATATTTACCTGCTTGGGAGCCTGCCAGATTACACTGAGCACTGACCGAATGAAAAATGCTACAAGCTGTAACTAACAGCGCTATCCTCATCCACGTCTTCATCGTCAAACACTTAAGTTCGGTACTGTCAAAACAGTGTATAGTTAATAAACTGATAAACAACATTATGAATGTTTCAAAGATATGCATTAAAAAATTACATCTGAAAAATAAGTCGATGCCATACAATTTCAGTTGAAATAAACTAAAAACTAATCATGTAAATAAAAGTTATTTCCCTATTTATTTCAATTGATTAATTAGCGTGAAATTTCGTATTGCTTCATATTTGTCGAGACTCACTCTGCAAAATTTTAGCTTTATGTAAAGTTTAAAAGTTTGGTTTGGCTTATTTAATTACTGCAAAGCACGCGAGGGCTATCTGCTTAAGGAAAGGAATGCCTTCGTGGAAGACTTTCCAAGGTAAACTGGCATTGGACGAAAACGCCCGTGTAGCCAGCCTGCTCGCCTAGAATCTAACCCAGGTAGGTTGGTTTACTGGGATTACGACAAAGCACCCTAGGTCTATCTGCCTAAGAGGAGGGATGCCTTCGTGGAGACCCATTTCGAAGACAACTTGGCTCGTATACACACTAAGGAAAACTGGCTCGTATACACTTCGCAAATTCGAACTTCGGATCGAACTGCCAGTGTTCAGCGACATTAACGCTCGGTCGTTGATATGCCCTAAATTAAAAAAAAACTCAGAAGTAATTATACTAATTGATCGTGATTAAGATACAGAATTGTACGGTGAAAATTTCTTAAATAAATATAGTGTAGGTTATATCAGTTCTTACATTACTACTTGAAACCAAAGGTGTCTCGAAAAGTTAAACGATAGAAGATGGAAGTTAGAATAAACATAATTCTAAAAATTTGTAAAATGTTTTGTTATATCTAATTGTTTTCAGTTACTTTTAGGGTTTTTGATTATTTCTGTGTTTTTTTCCGGAATTTATTATTATCAGGTCATTTAAATTCCCACTGTCAATTTTTAAGGTTATAATTAATATTTTATTGCTATTATATTTTCGTTTTAATCTGATATTTTCGAAAAACATAGGGGTAAATTTAAAAAAAAAATTTTAAAAGCGTTCTTAATTTAAATGCAATTTAAGGGTAGCTTTTAACTATCAAGAATAACAGAAATGAGTTATCGAACTTCTAGTTGTAACCAAAGGAAAAGTTTTAAAAATATTCACGTACTCAAGATGTATATTTAAAATGCTTCAATTTTTCACATCAGTTACTTTCAACTTTTAGACATTTCGCTTGCTGCTTGATTTTTATACTTTTTTTAGCCTAAGGCCCATTCTCACCCACTTTTATTTCATTTCTCATATTAAGTTCGCTTTTATTTACAGTAGAAAGATCTAGAATTTTTAATTAATATAAATTAATTTCAAAGATGATGTCTTAGTAAGTAGTGATTTATTTTTTCAATTTATCAACTTATGTCCTTACCAAATTTCAACAAAACACAAGCATGTCTATCAGTTCTGAAAACGAACAATCCAATGTAAAAAATCCTTTCAATGAATACCAGTGTAAGAAACAAACGAAATCTTAACCCTAAACCACCATAAAACATTTTCGCAAACAGAATTTGTTTCCTTACTTGCTAGAAATTTCATGTCAACGAAAAATTCATCGTTTCCAGTTTTAACACACAATCCCGCACATTTATGATATAAATCATAAATTAATTAATGGGATGATCGTTTTAATAAAAATTTTAATTTTTGTGAAATATATGTCAGCATGAGAAAATAATGATTAATCAAATAAAAATGAGTGTAAAAAAAAACTAACGTTTATTGACGTCGTTCTTTATTTTAGCAGGAATGCTTTCGGAGATCTAACAATATTGTTCCTTCAGCTGCAGGGCCCACCATCGGCCGAGCGGTAAAGACGCTGAACACTAGTAGTTCGGCCCGAGGTTCGAATCCCGCGAACGGGCTGGCTGCATGGGCGTTTTGGTGGTTTTCTCCATGTGTAACGTGTATACGAGCCAGTTTCCCTTAGAAAGTCCTCCACGAAGGCATCCCTCCCTTTAGGCAGATAGCCCTCGTGTGCTTTGCCTTAATTAAATAATCCAATCCAATCCTTCAGCTGCAAGGGCCACCAGCGACCGAGGGGTGAAGTCACTGAACACTAGTAGTTCGGTCCGAGGTTCGAACTTTGCGAACGGGCTGACTGCATGAGCGTTTTCTTGGTTTTCCCCATGTGTAAGTGTATACGATACAGTTTCCCTTAGAAAGTGCTCTACGAAGGCATCTCTCCTCTTAGCCAGATAGCCCTCGGGGCTTTGCCATAATCACATTAACCAAACCATCCTTCAGCAGCAATCGCTGAAAACGCTTCTGCTAAAACAAAATCTACATGTTTTAACTAAGGTTTTTTTTTTTTTTTTTTTTTTTTTTTTTTTTTTTCACTCATATGTCAGCATTCTCAGAGTTCATAATGTAGAGAAATTATTGCTATTATGTGTTATTATTCTAATTGAGACGGCTAAAGATTAAAATTATATTAAATGTTCAAAATCTAATAATTTGAACACATGTACCATATTTTTAGGCGAATAAGTCAAGGCCAAAAAATAGCCTTTAAAAAATCTAATCGACTTATAAGCCGGATATAAATTATCATAATGACTTCTATTTACATGCTAAGTAAGTTAAAATTACATTGAGTGAAAGTGGTTAATTAATTATACGCTGATCAATTTAGATAAAACGTTAAGTAAAATAAAAATATTTTTACATATAAAAATTTAAAAAAAGTATTATTCTCTGAAAATTTGATGAAGAGGAGGAAAATAATGACGGTGTCTGAGCTGTCAAAAAGTTTTAAAAAATTGAATGTGTGCAGGGGAAACCTTTTTTTTTTTTTTTTTTTATAGACTCATCTTTAGACACAGTTTTAGAGTTTAATATCACATTATCATTATCTAAATTAAAATATTCATTAACTTCATTCATATTTTCTGCCGATGCTATCGCATCATTGTATGTTTTCTCTCTATAAATCGATTTCGCCAACTTATTATATTACGTTTTTAATACTGGAATTGGATTCAATCCATTTAAGAACATGCGCGTGGCGTTGTCCCCACTTTGTCCACGTTCTCTTAAAATCCACTTTTCCGCAGCATCTTCGAAGTATCTCACCTTTTCTGTTACTTACCTGGGCCCACCAGCGGCCGAGCGGTAAAGTCGCTAAATACTGGTAGTTCGGTCCGAGGTTCGAATCCCGCGAACGGGCCGGCTGCATAAGCGCTTTCGTGGTTTTTCCATGTGTAACGTGTGTACGACCCAGTTTCCCTTAGAAAGTCCTCCACGAAGGCATCCCTTCCCTTAGGCAGATAGCCCTAGTGTGCTTTGCCATAATTAAATACACCACCTGTTACTTACCTGCTTTTTTTAAGGTATATTTTGATTTCAGCGTACTTTCTCTTTTTTTCATTCGTTCTTGAAAAAGTTTTTCTTTTCTATAACATTTTCTAGATCCTACAAACTGAAGGTCGATTTGTAGTTTAGATATACCTAATTTTAATGATCATCTTAATAAAATCACAGGGTCGCTTAATACGCCACACGTCGGCTCGTACGGCAGAAAAAATGAATATACATATAAAACTACAATGTATCAATGGTCTCAGCGTCCGTATTATAAATAAAGTGCATTATTATTCTGGCTAATAAATATTCAAACTCTAACAATGAACTTTTATGAATATATGAACATATATAAGTAAAAGCAAGCCGTAAAAATAAAGTGATACACAAGGGATGAATTCATGCATATGCATGTATTCAAAATACTCAATGTACTCACCAGAGAGAATCTCTAATCCAAAGCACGTCTCCTATGCGGGCACATGCAAGGGGAGAGAGTGTGAACGCCCCTCAGGAAGAGGAGTAAGTCCCGCTCTTATCGCGATTTACCTTTTGTTTCCATTATCGAAGCTTCGCCGGCAAGCATGATAAAAATCTTTGTATTCTGGTGAATACTTTTGTTCATTTCTTTCAACGGTGGAAAGGTTAAAAACAATACTCGATATTATGTAAAGATAAAAGCGATTGTGATTACGGGTGTGATGATTGGGGCGTATTTAGCCTGGTTAATGAAATTCAAATTTCTATGTTATATATATATAGACTCAAAACGATTGATCTGCAGCATTAATCGTTTACAAAAACCTGACCGACTTTGTCTCATGTCAAGATTTTTTATCAAAATAGGTATACATTTTACACATCTTTTAGATATGATAGACTCTAAACAGTACAGGAAAATCGAAAAAATCTTAAATTTTTGAAATAAAAAATAAATATCAAATGCTACAAAAAATTACAAAATACAAAATTACAAATTACAGATACAAAAAATACTACAAAAAATTAATAAACAATTTATTTTTGAAGATTTCTATCATGATCTACCTCCTAGAAGGGGCATAAATTAACAATAAATATCTCAAATGGTAACACGCTACCGCTACCGGTAACGGTAGCACGCTAGGGAAGTGAGAGAAATACCTTATATACTCCCCTTTTTAAAGGGCGACTAGGGTTTTAGGGAACCTAGTCGCCAAATCCTGGGTGTGGAGAATCATCATCCACAACCCTTTTAGTTCGGGCGCCACTTGTAGAGTCATTAGGGTAAATGGAAGCAGAAAAGATGAAAAATATGCAACCGCTTTCGCCGGGAATCGAACCACGGACCTCTGGAATACCGGCGCAGCGTGCTACCGTTACACCACGAAGGCACGCTAGGGAAGTGGGAGAAATACCTTATAAGTATTAAAAAATGTCATAAAATGAATATTTTCTAAAGTTTATCCAAATGCAGGAATGCATCTCATATCTAACATACCTTTATAGTTGAATTCGTAATCTCCTTTACTAATTTTCCTGATTGCATTATCAGAATGTTTTCCATGACTCTTTTAAGAAAATTCTCTTTTTCTCCATCATCTACTTCTATTTTTACAATACATGAATTTCGATATCTAGGTTGAATTTTTCTTAATAAGACCAGATTATATCTCCCAGGCTCTAAATCTTTCGATTTTAGAGTTTTAGGATAATATTCGAGACTATTGGTTATTATTTGTTCAAAACGTGACTACGGATCAGTCACTTACGGGTCAGCAAGGCCTTCCCTGATAGCCAGACTTGATCCGGAACACCACCAAGCAATTCTGATCCGCACTGGTGCCTGACTAGAATTTCACTAGTGGAAAGTCTGTATGTGGAAAGCAATGAGACTCTTCTGAGTTTAAGACGCGAGCAACTTTGTCTTAAGCACTATTTTAAAATCATATCACAGATCCAGAACCCTATCCGTCTACATTTACTCAATGATTCATGCTCCTGTTTATATCAAGCACGCCCATCATGTATTCCATCGTTTGGTTTAAGAGTTGGCACCTTACTAGAACAGTATAATATGAGTGATATAAATATACAGCTGGGGAATCTTTTTGAGATGCCACTATGGGAAGACTGGAAAATTCAATCTCTAGATATTTTCCAATCCTGGGATAAATCTAGTACAAGTGATGTCATTTACAGACAGATCTTTACGGAACATAGACATAAATATAGAAATTATATCCCTCTTTATACAGATGGATTAAAATGCCAAAAATTATCGCCTAGATCACGTTAGTAAAGCCTTTGTAGTAGATAAAACTATTCTGGGATTTCGATTACACCCGTCTTGCTCAGTTTTTACCTCTGAATTTGCTGCAGTTTATCAAGCTCTAACGTTTCTGTCAAAACAAAATTACAGGAATTTCATTATTTATGCACATTCCTTGAGTGTCCTAATATCATTCAAAGAGCCTAAGTATAGTTTACATCCCAGTATTATCAGAATTCTGAAGCTTAATCAGACTCTAAAATATCGGGGATATAAGATTCCTTATTCCTGGATCCCTGGCCACGCTGGCATAGAAGGGTATGAACTAGCGGTCATTACAGCTAAAACTGCTACTACAATACCTAATTCCCAGATTCCACTCACAGTATCAGTACGATGATCAAGCATAAAAGTTTTAATAAATGGCAGAGGCACTGGGATAGCCAAACCAATAACAAGCTCAGAGATGTTAAACCCACAACTGAATGTTGGCCATCTACGGCAAACAGAAGAGAACAAGTTATCTTGACCCGGTTGAGATTAGGTAATTGTCGACTAACGGACGAATGTCTGCTGAAAGGTGAGAAGAATCCTCACTGCACAACTGTAATAAAGATCTGACTGTCCGCCATATTTTATTAGAATGTCATAGTTTTAATTATCATTGCCAGAAATATTTTAAAATTAGTTTTAAACAACTTAATAGAGAAAAGCCATCATCACAAGTTATTCCAGTTGACTTTTATTATAAACTGTAATCTGTTTTTACCTGACCTAAAATGTACAGTAACTGTCCATGTAAAACTTTTAACATCTTACAGTGTTTTTGGCACAGAGACCTCATACGGTTTTGTGCCAGAAAGTACAATAAACCAGACCAAACCAAGACTACTGAAATCTTCCATTCACTGGTAAACATTTGTTTAAAGACTTTTTAATTTTAAATTAGTAAACACTTTTTTAAGATATGCGATTATTCATTTTTCCAAATTTGCAAAATATGGAATATTGAATAAAGATTTCTAAATTTTTAATACAAGAATATATTAAATCACAATAATTTTTCAAAATAATATACTTCAAAAGCTTGTAAAATAAATGTGAAATACAATGAAATTAATACAAAATAAAACAAAAATCAAAGAAATGTCGCATAAACGAATCTGCGGAATTACTGGATGCCAGACCTTTACTGCATCCGCAGCCAATAATATCCATAGCTTTCTCTGAATTACTAAAAAGCATTAAAAAATCGGATAGATATTAATTTCTATTTTTTACTGGGTTCAAGCAATCTAGAGAAGGCGACCGGAGGCCCTTTTTCTTAACTATACTTTACTAGCTGTTTCTTGTCTGGAACAACTTTATAATCCTTTAGGAAATGATTCGAATCAGCAGTTTTATCTTTATGACAAACTTTGAATGATCCAACATTACAGACTTCTCATGTGTTAGTAAACAAGTACAGATTAAAGCAAGGCCAACATCTCTGCATTCTCAAAGGTGCATTAGATATCGCCGAGCCTTGCTAAATGTTAATTTCCGCCGCAGTTTTGATGGAAAATACTTCATGGGGAGAAGGTCCGAGGGTCTTCCGCCCTTTTTCCCTATCACCAACCGCTCGAGAGGAAATTCGGCTCGTCGTGTACCTTGAAAACGCTGTTGCTGCATAGATTAAAATCATCCATAGCTTACCATACATACCAGGATTCGAACGTTGAACGGTACGGCAGTCAACGTTACTAACAATTATATTGGCTGGAAGCTACGTTAGTAACAACTTTTTCAAAGGATAATGTTAGAAAGATATACACAAAATGTCTTGCTGGTACGCAACAAAATTTGAAAACAAATGGATAAGATGCCATCCTATTAAACTCGTGCATTTGTGGATAATTAAGGGAATGGAATAATACAGAATCATATATTGTGTAAATGAAAACTGGTCTGACTGAGTATTGTCAATAGCAGTACCTGACGTATGTCTTCTGCCCGAAAAGACGCAGAGAACATTTAATGTTACACTAATCGAAATCTCGACACTAACATTTGAAGAAGAGAAATAGTTTCAGGAAAACAAATGCACAAATCACAATCACCTAGATTTATCCTTTTGTTCGGCACAAGTGAATCGATTTAGGTATTTGTTAATTCTTAGGACGTGGTTATAATACATTAATTCTTGGAAACTGTAACCAATCTGAATTGAAAACACTTAACACAATATAAAAATGTTAACAAAAAAAACATCTTAAATGGAGATGGACCTTCCATGGTATGATTCTACACTTCCTCAGATTCTTAGTGTTACTACACAGCTTCTGCTGTACATATTCCGCTCGGCAATTGGGGAATAAGAAGATCACTGGCATGTACAGCTCTCGTTAAGTCCACTTGGTCTCTCTGGAACAAGACTTGTAGGATCCACTCGGCTACTCTAGACTTGACCTCGGCTCTTGCAGAATCCACTCGGTTACATCAGATTTATTTCAGTTCTTGTAGCTACTGGAATTGAACTCAGTTTCTTCAAGAATCGCTTGGCTGCTGAACTTGACCCTACCCGGCCCCTCGAAATGACACAGCTTCTCTGGCGGTTACGTCTAGGGCACAGCCCCCAGCCCCCTGGCAGGCGAAGCCAGTCATATGGCTTATAGAGAGGCAAGCTCACCTAACAACAAACGAGACAACCAGCGAGCCAGCCGTGCATCCAAGAAACAAATAGAAAAAATCTGATGTGTACACCACATGACTTCCTTGTACGGAATATTAAATTATACGCATTTTTTCTTGCATTTTATTTAAACTTATTAGATTGAATTAAACCTACTTCGCCGACCAGCGCATAAACCACAATAGAATAAATGCATTCTTTAAAATTCACTTTGTTTACCATAGCGACACTCTGCACTAGGTTTACTTAACAGTATTATATTATATTTCATTCATATTATAACTCAGAATGCACAAAATGTATATCATTTATTATCTAATCGTTGCCACATGTTCTATTCAAATACTATAATAAAGCTAGAACTATGTATAAAATAAATTAAGCAAATAAAACAAAAAAGAAACAGTTTTTCACAGACGATTGAGTATTTCTCATTTAATTAATTCAGTTCTTACTTCGCGAGAAGGCAAAAATACATAAAAACTCAAAATATCTAAATTAAAAATTACGAAGTAAATCTCAAACACTTATTTCCTCGAAAAAATTCCAGAAAGATTTAAGCATGATTTAAATGGCAATAATAAATGAATGCGTTATCTTTGTTGTTGAGAAGCTAAGTTTCTCTAGATTGGGAACAAATCCACTAGTCTCCTGTTTCAAATGTAAACATCA